GGGTGGGGGTGGGATGAGGGAGGGGGCTAGGGTGTAGTGAGCGTGGGCGGGGTAGGGGTGTACGGTGGAAATCGGGGCCAGGGTCGTGAGCCGTTTTGAAGTCCGCGACCCTGGCCCCGATTTCCACCGCCACGACCTTGTCCTCGTCCATAGCCTCCACGTTGACTAGAGTTGCCGTCCCCATAGCCTGTGCCGCCATGCTGTCTGCCATAGCCACCGGGAGTACCGCCGTGGGTGTTGCCGCCGGCTCGGGTCGTGAGGAACGCCGTGGTGCCCGAGTCGGAGGGACTCATCCGTTGTCGATCCAGCAGCATGAGGGCAGATCTAACGTGTAGAAACGTGGGCATGGGATCCTGAAATTGCATGAATGAAGTTTGTGCCTGGAGATCGAAAGGGAGACCACGAAGCATTTGAAGGACAAGTTGGTGTTGGGAGACTGGTGCATCGACATCATCCAACCAGTCGGCAAGATTCTGCAGTTGTTGGCAATAGGCTGCCATGGTGGAGTTGCCCTTGACTGTCGTGGGAAATTTATGCTCGAATTGCATGGCTTGGGCATGTTTGTTGTCGTGGAACAAGTCGTGGATGACTTTCCAGAGAGTAGAGGTAGTGGAAACAGAGGAGATGACTAGATCAGATACCTCATCGGTGATGGTGGAGAGGATCCAACCCTGGAGGAGAGCGTCGAGTTGGAACCATTCATCATTGTCATCGGAGAGGGGGACGACGGAGCCATCGATGTAGCCCTTGAGGTTGAACCACCGAACCAGAAGAAAGAAGAGTCGGCTCTACTTTTTGTAGTTAGGTTGGGAGAGACTGAGTTGAACGGGGACATGAAGTTTCACATTAGAGACTGTTGTGAAGGCAAGATGAGGAGGTTTGGAGGAGTTATTTTGGGAAGTGACCTCGCTGTTTTCGGCCATGGTGAGGGGGAGAGGATGACCGCCGATGAGGAGGGGGTGTCGCCGGTGAAGAGAGCCGCCGAGGGGGAGGGTCGGCGCTGCCGAGATTGACGGCGAGAGAGAGAGAGGGCTGAATGAGAGAGAGAGAGGAGGGTTTAGGGTTTTTGATTTTTAGGCTTCGATACCATGTAGAAAGGTTAATTTCAATGATTGAATATGTGGGAGTACATGTCTATATATATACACAAGGATTCCTAATCCTATACAAGGTAGGAAACAATAATAGGAAACAATATATTTACATTAAATATAGAATATATATTTAACAAATACAATAAGAGATGCTATGACTATGTTGTTTTAATAAATAATTAAAAAATAAATAAAGAAAAAAATAAAATTCAATCGGAATTAGTAGAGTAGCACAATTATTTTTAAAACTCTGAAATGTCTTATAACTCTAAAATCAAAGCGAAAAGTTATTTTTTTAAAAAAAAATCATGTCTCATTTTCGCATGCATTATGAAATGTGAAAACCAAACATACACGGAATGTAAAGTGTAATATTTAAAAAAACAAAGTATGAAATATGACTCTATTTTATTCCATTTTTAATATCATGCATATTTGGTCAATAAAAAGTATAGGGAAAAAGACTAAATTAAGAGCAAAAATATTGAAAATATACCAAAATAAGAGTTTAATATTTAATTTTTATTCTCGAAATATGAGTTAGAATTCATTTGCATTATCTATCATAACCATGTATATTACCAAAAAAGTATAGGAAAATACTCATATACAGTGTCACATTACTATAAAGCAAACTTTTATTTGGGGAATAAAAACATGAAACTTCTATTTTGATACTTTCTCTATGTTTTACTCATATTTACAGTGATTTCTTAAAAGTATGTGGATGATATCTGCAGTTATTCGTACCTCTTTTGATATTTCATGATGCTGAGATTTTGAATTTAATATCTAATCTCAAGACATCACAAACATCCAAACAAATGGTTTTGACAACTCCAAATAGCACAAACCCAACCATTATCACCGCCAATCACTCTTATTGTCGGCTACTCCTGATAACACTAATTTTATTAAGATTTAAAATCTTCTTAAACAACTTTATTTTATACTCCCTTCATCCCTAATTTGATTGCAAATTGGGAGTTAAGATGTAAAATTTCTCACCTTTTGAAGTCATTTTATTTATAAATTGGTACATCAATATGAAATAAAAATTACATATTAAAAAACTACGCTAAAAGTTCTACAAGATATGCAAGAGGTGACAAAAATATTTTATTTTACCAAATACTCAATGAAAAGATACAAATAAACAAAAGTTATTGAAAGGAGAGAAAAAAGATTGTAATCTAATTCGGGACGAAAGAAGTATTTCAGAATTCATATTATTTCTCTCAAATTTCAGAACATACTCACTCTATCCGAAAATAAGATTCATGTTCGGTTTACATTATTTGACTCGAGTTATTTTCAAATCAATGTAAGTGGAAATTGGCGTAGAATTAAAAAATAAAAATTATGTATTAAAAAACTACTACATAATAAGTTTTACAAAACAAGTGATGACAAAGTTATTTTATGAAGAAATCACCCTAAAGCTAAGGGGTATGCGTCCCCTTTTCCCTCTTCCCCTTCCGCAAACTCAGCATTCTGTCAGCTTTTACTTTCCTTTCTCATTCCCTTCTCCTATCACGGGTGTGCATCCCCTACCCTTTCTCTTTCCCTTCTAATATTTAATGTTATTTTTTAGCACTTATTTTAATTAAAATAATTCAACTAAAAATATAAAATACAATAAAAGTTTACTAAGTTAAAATTTAAATTGAACATTACATTGAAATTAAAATAAGAAATATAATAATAGTGTGTCTAAAAAATACGTAAATAAAAGTGTGTAAAACAATACGGAGTACATACTAAGAAATTAATATTATTTTTTAATATTGTTTTTTAACATTTAATTTAATTTAAATTAATTTAACTAAAGATACAATTTAGTAGTACAAACATTAAAAAACTAAAAAATTTAAACTGAAAAAAAAGATATCAAAATAGTGGCATTTACAAAAAAAATTATAGTTGAGTAGCATTTTAAAACAACTCTCTGATGTTGAGTTTTTTTTCCAGCCGGCTTGAATTTACTCGAGCTAACTTGTTTTCTTTAATCTATCACAAAAAAAAACTATTAGTAGTGTTTCACTTCCAGCACAATTATTATATTTTTATTTAATATTTTGATATTTTTATTCAAATTAAATTATATATATTTTTTATATAAAGAAATTAAATAATATTTTAAACACATCTTAAATAAAATACTACTAAAAACTAAATCTATCTATTATTTAAAAAGCCATGGATTTGCATTGGTCTTTTCCCGCCCAATGCTCTTCGGCATTACATAAGGTATGTGCTCATAAAATTGGTAAGTATTAAATGTTTTTATTTTTTGAATCTATATTAATACACGAAATTATGTTCTAAACTTTCCATTATTATTTACACAAAATTATGTTCTAAACTTTCCATTATTATTCTTATTTAATAGTATGGTATCGTATTGTCCTTTTAAAATTTAAAGGTATGTTAAATAAAAGTATGTGCTCATAAAATTGGTAAGTATTAAATGCTTTTATTTTTTGATATGGTATGTGTTAAATGCTGAACGTGTATAGAACTGTGTTTACATTTTTAAATCTATATTAATACACGAAATTATGTTCTAAACTTTCCATTATTATTCTTATTTAATAGTATGTACTAGGAATTTTAATACACGGTATTTTTAAAAAAAACCCTTATACATAGTTCTGAATGTGAAAGAAAAATAATTACAAAATACATCAAGAAGGCAATAAAACTTTGTAATTTTATTATTATTTAATAGCATGGCACCGTGCTGCTATTTTAAAATTTTAAAATATATTAAATAAAAACTTTCATGAATTAGGTATATATCGTGTTGCTCCACCCTCTTGAATAATAAAAAGGCAACAAAAATTTTTACTATTGAATAATATACACGGTATTAATACTAGAAATATTAATACAAGGAATCTATAAACTTTAAAGATGGTAATAATAATAAACAGAAAAGGTATTTAAACCATAATGTGATGTCAAGTGGTATAGCATCGTGTGGGAATGTTACCATAAACTTTAATTGTAATTACCACAATTTCTTTTCGTTACCATAATATAATAGATTACCGTAATAAACCATAATTGTATGTAATTATAATTACCATTACCATGAAAAACTTTAATTCTTCATGAAAATTCTGGATAGTATAAATACGCTACCTTACCGTGCCAGTAAATTAAACGAATGTTCAGGAAACAAGAGTTTTAATTAATCGCTTCACCTCTGTTTTTGGCCAGAGATGGGAGTGATGATTACCGCCCTAAAAAATGTTCATGAAAAATCCGGGTTGTTGATGATGAAGCTAGGAGCAATTAGAGTTTACCACGTTGCTGCTCATTCTCGAGGGCCGGAATCGTTGGATGTTGTTTTCCACGACTCAGAGGTTAGTTCTACATTGTTTTATATTTTACAAATAATAGATCTTTAAACAAAAAATATAAATTTAATTATAGATTAACGTTTTATATTTGTTGTTAGGGCGCTCGGATCCATGCTAAGGTCAAAGATACTGATATAAGCACATTCAAACAAGATTTGCAAGAAAATGCGGTTTACTTAATCATGAGGGTCAAGGTTTTACGCAATTTCCAAGGCACAAAAACTACCAATCACCCTTGCATGCTCCAATTTTTGGGAAAGACCAAGATTCAAAAACTAACAGACAATGGATTTCCTAATTTTCGATTCTACTTTAAGAATTTTGAAGATGTTCTCAAAACAAAGTTTGCTGACCAAGTCTTTTTAGTTGGTAAGGGTCATATACATTTACATAACTTAAATACTTACACATATGAAATACATTTTATGTATTATGATTATGAAATTTTTAAAATTGTATTTTTATGGATTTTCAGATATAATCGGGAAAGTAGTTAGTCGAACTGTGCCCGAAACCCGTATGGTTAAAAATGCCCCAGATCAAATGATGGAAATTACCTTGGAGAACCACAAGTAAGTGACTTTTTAATAACCAAATTCATTTTAATTAAAAAAAATATTATACTTTGAAAAAATTACTAAATAATTCATTTGCATGATACCTTATTTCGTGGTTAGCTAATTACTAAAAAATTGCAACACATATTATATTTAAAAATAATTATAACTTTTTTTTGTAGTGGCGTTCGGTTGAATTGTACGTTATGGGAAAATCGCGTCAATGCTTTCATTGATGGATTGAGTGCATCGGAATCGACCCTTCCAATTTTGGGGTTGCAAATGGTCAAACCTAAGTTCTACAATGGTATATATTCATAAATTAATTCAAATTAATTTTGAAAGACATGTACCCAATGATTTAATTCTAATTGTATTTTTTTTCAAATCATTTAGAGCAAGTGTCTGTTACAACATTTTACTTTGTGAGCAAGGTTTTACTCAATGATGAGTGTGATGAAGTTCAAGCTTGGAGAGAAAAGTAAGTCCACATGTATTCTTGCAGATTTTTTATTTCTAAAAATATAATCAATGTGTTGTTTAAATTTTTAACAATTGTAATCATGCATGTTAATGTTAAGTGCTAATCATTTAACCCAAAGTTGTAGTATCGTCTCAACACAATCAAGATCAAGAGATGATAAAAGAACGAGCAACTTGAAAGTGGTCTCCATTCATGAACTAAAAAACATGAGCAATGTAAGACATATTTCTTTACATGTTATAAAAAAAATAAGTTACTTTTCACCTTAAATATATTGCATATTCATCTATGGCAATTATGGCAATACGTGTTCCTTTTTTAAAATAATTTTAATTTAGTTTTAATACCCGAGTAATAAAAAGTAAATTTATTAATGATAAATTTTTAAATGAGAATTAGGCTTTAATTTTATTTTCTTTCCTAAATTATTCACTATTTGCAAATTACGTTAGTTTAGAAATTCTGAATAAGATTAATTTTTATGAGCTATTGATAATTTAGTATTGAAGAAAGTAAATAATGGCATAATTTAAATATTTAAATTCAATTCAAGTAGTCACGAGAGACCAAAAAGGAAAAAAAATGCAAATTTCCATTTAAATACCTAAATTATCTAGACGTATTTTCTAATTTCCTAATTTATGAAAAAACTGGATTCCATTCTTATTTGGAATTAGTAATTATGTACGGATATAATTTAATAAATACCCTAATAATAGTAATAGTCGATTGATTTTCTTTATTAAATAATTACTACACGCATATATATATATATATATATATATATATATATATATATATATATATAATAGTAATATATTTTATTGATTTATTTCTTATATTAGCAGAAAGGATATTATTGGATACTTGGTGATGTTGTTGAAATTGAAAACACCAATGAATTGTGTTATCTTGGTTGTCCCAAGTGCAACCGGAAGGTTGCTCCAGATGCTACGAGGTTCAAGTGTATGAAATGCGAAAAAAATTATCCTGAGGGAGTGTATGTTATTTGCATTCAAAATATTTAATACCCCAAAAGAATAATTTTTAAAATTACTAATTCTTAACGTATGATAAATAGATACAAGGTGAGCATTTGTGTTATTGATAATCTCTGAAATGACGATTAACAAGAGCCAGGGACAATCTCTGAAACATGTTGGACTACTGTTACGGAAACCTGTGTTTAGTCATGGACAGCTCTATGTTGCAGTTTCAAGAGTAACTAATCGTAGTGGATTGAAGATTCTGATATGCAATGAAGACAATACTCCCACAAAGACTACAAATAATGTAGTCTATAAAGAAGTCTTTCGAAATTTGTAAAACATTGATGTTTTGTACTTTCAAATAATATAATCTCTATATTCTATTGCATCTCAGTTTTTATCATTGAAAAATGATCTGAATTTAATAACATAAAAATGACCTGTGCAACGCACGGGTGTGATACTAGTAAAACTAAATACAAATAAAAATAAAAACAAAAAAAAACTCGCGAAAAAAAACTAAACAAAAAAAAGGAGAAAACAACTCAACAAAAAAAAATTAAATAAAAAAAATTAAAAATAAATAAGAAAGATAAGTTCATTTAAGCCGTGACTCCGTGACCACCAGCCTTAAAAAACTTAGTTTAAAAATGAATAAATTCCATAAATGATCACTACTAATATGTGGTTTTTTATATTTAATCTCTACTTATCAAATATTACTACCGTAGTTCTCTTTTCTTTAGTTTCTTTCCACGGTCAGTCCTTCACTCATGTTGTTATCTACCTATTAAATACAACATTAAAAAAAGTAATTTTCCACCACCACCTCTCAATTAAACACCTCACCATCCCTCCCCATATATGCCTGTGTTTAGATGGTTAGGGTGCATCTTTCAGATTGTCATGTGAGACGAAGACAAATGCTGAGATTAGGGTTTTGAGGGATAGCTTGGGACGGGGAGGAGTAATTAAATTGAGAGACGGATGTGAGAAATTATGGTTTCAACCCTACATGGAACAGGTAGATAACATTACAAGTGATGGAGGACTGGTCGTGAAAAAGAACTAAAGAAGCAGAGACTACGCTTGTAATATTTGATAAATAAGAATTAATTATAGAATACTATCTATAACTAGGGATCATTTATTAAATTCACTCTACAAAAAAACTATTTAAATACTAAAAGAAAATTAAAAAGATGCTTACCTCTCTCCCACTCTCCGTGGCCGTGACAACCAGCAGCACTCACCCTGTCCTCTCACGCAGATGGGGGGCGGTGTTCACTTAGAAGCATTGCCAATATGCCAAAGCCACCTAAAAACACGGACAATGGCAAGTAAGCAATGAAATCTCACACAATGACTGATACAAATAGTTAATTAGAATATTTTAATTAGTTATATTATTAATTAGTAATTACTTATTATTATTTATTGATGGTTTAGGGTTTTAGTATGGGCCCGAGCCTGTTGGAACACACTTTGTACGATAAACTAAAGTCGTGTTCATTTCTGACAGGTTTTGATAATTGCCAAACCGCCGTGGATATAAAGAGTTTCGTTGAATAACTCAAGGCGTGAAGAATGGCTTGGAACAAGACCTAAAAGACTCAAGGACAAGATCAAGAATTAAAGACTTAGTCGAGTCAGTCTTTTGTGATCAAAACCGACAATAAATTCAAGTCTCGGTTCTCAAAAAGTCAAAACAATTTTTACAAATCATAAAATATTTTTGTGCATCAAAACAAACATTTTTTTGATGATTTCTTTTATTGTTAAAATCCCTGGTCCTTGCTCAGAACCGAAACCACCTAAGTCGGCGTTCGGCTTTCGACGTTTGGCGTTCGGCTTTCGGCGTTCGGTTTTGGGCGCCCGAACCAACTCCGTGGTTTTAAATATTTTAAACCCTGTTTTTACTTCTGAGCATTTTTAAAATGTTCCCAAATAATTATTTTATAAAAACCACTTTTGTACCTTGGTCAATCGATCTAACACGTGAAAAACGGTCTAAACCGTACGCACGTATTATACGACCTTGGAGACTTGGTTTTTACCAAACAAGTCTTGTTTTCACTATTTTATACCATATACAATATTTTCCAAACATGGTTTTTACTTTTGGGAACACTTCGTTTTTGGACCTCGGTTTTTCAAAACGGGTTTGAGGCTGCTAGACTTTAGGTGGGTGATAATTGATTATCACCTTAGTGACAATCGACTATCAGCCCCTGCAGCTTTGAACTTCCAAAGTTCTGAAGCACGCAATAATCGATTATCAGCTTACGCTCTTTACTTTAACGCTCTCGTTTTAATTTCCTGCGATTTTGTTTTAAACGTTATTCACCCCTCTCTAGCATTGGGCCTTTATTCTAACAATTGGTATCGGAGCCTTACTCTCTGAAAGACTTAACCGTTTGAGAGAAACGATCAATGGCTTCTACTCAAAACTTATACGCAGGTTTAGGAGAAGGGCAATCCACCATGAGGCCTCCATTATTTGATGGAACGAATTACACATATTGGAAAGAGCGAATGAGAATTTTTATCCAATCCAACAACTTTCTCCTATGGAGAATTATCAAGAATGGGGAAGAAGTGCCCATGAAGAAAGTTGGGGAAACCACCGTTCCCAAAACCGAAGCAGAATACGATGCGCAGGATATCAAGAAAATAGAGAACAACGCCAAGGCTATCAACATTCTTTATTGTGCAGTAAACCCGGATGACTACCGGAAGATCTCTTGTTGTTCCACCGCCAAGGAAATGTGGGACAAGCTAGAAATCACATATGAAGGTACGAATCAAGTCCGAGAAGCTAAGATAGATTTTCTAACCCATGAATATGAATTGTTTCGTATGAAGGAGAATGAGAAAATCGATGAGATGTTTGAACGATTCTCCAAAATCGTTAATGATCTCCATGCTCTCAAGAAGACGTACACGGACAAGGAGCTTGTAAGAAAAATCCTGCGGAGTCTCACACCGGAATGGCGCTCTAAAGCCGATGCTATCCAAGAATCTATCGGCATCTCCAGTGTCACCATTGACGGGCTTAGAGGTAACCTCAAAACCTATGAGTCTACCATTCTTTACCCCTCATTAGGTGAACAAAAGAAGAATGGAATTGCACTCAAGGCGTCCACAAGTCAAGAACGTGATGTGGAGGACTCGAGTGACAAAGACGAGTTCGGGATGGTGCTCAAGAAATTCCATAAGTTCATGAGCCAAGAGTATGAACGGAAAGGAAAGGAGCAAGGAAGTCCACCCAAATGCTATGGGTGTGGAGAAGTTGGGCATATAAAACCAAAATGTCCAAACGCCAAGAACAAGAATAAAATGTTCAAGAAGCACCGAGCCTACATCTCATGGGGAGGTGATTCCGGCGACGAATCATCGGAAGGCGAAGAAAACGAAAGTGCCAATCTTTGCCTCATGGCACACGAGGAACCACCGGAAGAGGTATGTACCACTTCTAACGAATCCTATACTTTTGATGATGTACAAGAAGCCTTTAATGAACTTTTTGATGAATATGTCGACGCTTCTAAAATTAANCTTCCATGGAGAAGGAAGTTGATAAACTATCAAAAGATAATGAAAAACTTAAAGAAGAAAATAAGTTTTTCGGAAAAAGAAGCGCCGACAAACCGGAAAGTTCAAAATGTAGTTCTTGTATATCACTTAAGGATCAAGTTGCAAAACTTGAAGGAACTTTGAAGAAGTTTGGTGTTTCTCATAAAAACCTTAATGATGTTCTTGATAATTTGCAACTTACTAAACATGGCTTAGGATTTGAAAATGAACCTAATAATAAGGAAAAAGTTGAGCAACCATCATCTAAAGCTCAACTTAGGAATAATGAAAATCAAGAAAATAGACAACCTAGAACAATTAGGAACACTAGACCACCTAGAAAGAACACTAGGATGAACAATGATCAAGTTAGAAAACCTAGCAACTATTATCAACCTAGGAGAATGCATAATCTAAATGTTGTTTGTCATTATTGCAATAGGGTAGGTCATATAGCACCCGTGTGTTTTAGTAGGCATAGGCATTACACGTATAACAAAACACACACTTTGCATGGAACTAACCGAATGAAATCCTTTGAAAAACGATATTCGAACTCTAACCAATCCCTGCAGGAATCAACGCAAAAGAAACCATATTACTTCTTCTATTATGATGAAAAGAAGAAGATTCACATACCACTTCCGGAACCCACACAAATCAAACCGAGGTATAGGCATTCGGTTCGAGTAGACTGGAACCCGCCAACCGCAAAACGACAAGTTGGCCAAGGTAACACTTAAACACGCGTGTTGGTACATATGTGTGTTTGTGTGTGTATGTGTGTTTGCGTGATTATGGGTGCGTGTGTTTATCAGTTTAAAAAGTCGTGTTACTAATCCTCAAGGACCCAAAAGACCAAACGGGTACCAAAATGTTTTCATTGTAGGCGTTGAAGTCAGGGGGAATGTGAACAATCAATTTACAGGCTTGTGATAATCGACTATCACAACCCACAAGAGTTGGAGCAAAGAAACTGAAGGAGCCAACAATCGATTATAAGCATTAAGATAATCGATTATCAGGGGCTGCAGAACTTTCTCAAAAGTCAGGCGCAAACCAGCAACAATCGATTATTAACTATAAGATAATCGATTATTTAAGCCTGCAGAAGTTAAAGGCAACTCAGGCGCAAACTACAACAATCGATTTACAACCAGGCAGAAATCGATTATTGAAGCCTGCAGTTTCTTTGGCGGAGAATCTGAAGACTCATATAATCGATTTACAAGAAGTGTAAATCGATTATCAACGGCGATTTTTCAAAAAACTGACCGTTGCAGAGACGTTGGAGAGCAATTAATGCCTGTTTGACCACCTCTACGAATCTCCAAAGCTTCTACTCTATAAATTGGTGATCTCTATTCATTTTATACTCACTCAAATAATATTTTCTCCATATATTCATCATAATTCATCATTCTTGCACCTATTTTTCATTTTCTTTCCAAATTTCTACAATTTTCTCTTTGCCTTGCTCTGCCCCCTACTCTTTGTTGATATGGCAGGAGGTCAAAGAAAAAGATCCCGCACCGGCAAGAACGTGGCTTCTTCCTTGGCTCCTCCACCACCAGCGCACAAGTACCTCGACGGGTCGTTCCTTTGGTTCAACGACCACGCAGAGGCGACGCGGTTCTCGGAGAAATTTGAGCACCGAGAGATTCTCCCTCCCCGATTCTCCACCGCCCACTTCATTCATGAATCCATTCCACGTGAGGCACGGGTTATCCTCGAACGTGGAAACTTCCTCGATCTCCTCCACATCAAGAAGGTCATTTATCACCGCTTTCTTGTTCGAGCTTTCTACTCGAACTTGAAAAAGGATGAGGACGGAGCGTTGATCTCTAACGTCAACGGGGTGGACATCTATTTGAATGAGGAGAACATTCAAATCCTCACCGGGCTTCGTCGGGATGGACAGGATCTCGGGCTCTATGTCGGAGAATAAGGAGCACTGTTCAATTAGACCGCCCTCTAGGAGGAAGTGGGCATCCGACACTTCGTCCCCACTCCCCAACAGCGGCGCCCTACGATTGCTTCCATGAGTCCCGTGTTTCGATTCATTTTTTATGTTTTGACACGGATTCTCAAGCCCAGGAAGTTCAATCACACCACTCTCTCTCAAGAGGACACGAAGACAATTCATGCGATGATTCACAACGCTAATCTCAATTGATGTAAATTTGTGATGACTCACATGTTCACGACCACCTCCGACAATCGGCCGCTCCCCTATGCCCTCCTCGTCATGGCGATTTTTGAAGAGTATAACATCAAAACCGATGTTGGGCCAAAGATAAAGGGGACAAAGCATTGGGAGATTGATGAATCCTCTTTCCACTCGGGCACCGACGAGACTCCGTTTCGACAGCCTCGTTCTCGCCGCCAACCGAGAGCCACTGCCTCAACCGCCACCACTTCGACCAATCCTTCTCTCGCCGAGCAAATGGCAGCCTTAACCGCCACTCTCTCTCGCATTGACACCAATGTCTCCAAAACGGCACACAACGTCAATACCTTGAGCCGTGAACTTCACGTGTATTTTGACTTTGTCAATTACCCGTACGCTCAAATGGTCCCTTACGTTCCTCCACCGAATTTCGGAGGTGAACAAAGTGGGACTCAAAACGTTGGTAGAGATGACGAGGTGGACGATGAGGAAGAAGAAGAAGATGATGAGGAAGAAGAAGCCGATGATGATGATGATGATGATGATGATGGCGATGGTGATGAAGATGAAGAAGAAGAAGAAGACATTGACGAAGAAAAACTTCTCAATGATCTTTCCCCGGATTTCTAGAGCTCTAGCTCTACTTTCTTCTCTTCCTTATTTTATCATCTTTTAATATGCTTTCGTTATGTACTCCGCTATTTCCCTTATTTAATTAATAAAAATCTTTATGATTTTTGTTGTTAACAATCTTTTTGTTAATGTCAAAAGGGGGAAGATAAGGGCTATGCATATATTAAGGGGGAATTTTTTTTAAGGTTGAATTTTTTTTCAAAAAGATCAAAACCATATGCATATCCCCGCCTTGTTTGCCATTATCAAAAAGGGGGAAATTGTTGGAACACACTTTGTACGATAAACTAAAGTCGTGTTCATTTCTGACAGGTTTTGATAATTGCAAACCGCCGTGGATATAAAGAGTTTTGTTGAATAACTCAAGGCGTGAAGAATGGATTGGAACAAGACCTAAAAGACTCAAGGACAAGATCAAGAATTAAAGACTTAGTCGAGTCGGTCTTTTGTGATCAAAACCGACAATAAATTCAAGTCTCAGTTCTCAAAAAGTCAAAACAATTTTTACAAATCATAAAATATTTTTGTGCATCAAAACAAACATTTTTTTGATGATTTCTTTTATTGTTAAAATCCCTGGTCCTTGCTCAGAACCGAAACCACCTAAGTCGGCGTTCGGCTTTCGACGTTTGGCGTTCGGCTTTCGGCGTTCGGTTTTTGGCGCCCGAACCAACTCCGTGGTTTCAATATTTTAAACCCTGTTTTTACTTCTGAGAATTTTTAAAATGTTCCCAAATAATTATTTTATAAAAACCACTTTTGTACCTTGGTCAATCGGTCTAACACGTGAAAAACGGTCTAAACCGTACGCACGTATTATACGACCTTGGAGACTTGGTTTTTACCAAACAAGTCTTGTTTTCACTATTTTATACCATATACATTATTTTCCAAACCTGGTTTTTACTTTTGGGAACACTTCGTTTTTGGACCTCGGTTTTTCAAAACGGGTTTCAGCTGGCTAGACTTTAGGTGGCTGATAATTGATTATCACCTTAGTGACAATCGACTATCAGCCCCTGCAGCTTTGAACTTCCAAAGTTCGGAAGCACGCAATAATCGATTATCAGCTTTGCGATAATCGATTATCAGTCTTTGCAGCCAAAACCCAGAATCTTCTGAGAGGACAAATAATCGATTATCACTTGTTGACAATCGGTTATCCGGGTTACCGTTGTCGTCCAACGGATAGAATTTTAAATTTTTGGACAGGGAGTCTTTGGATAATCGATTATCAAGCTTTGACAATCGACTATCACCCTGTGTCTCTGAAAAATTTGTCTTCATCTTGTTGGAAACTCTAGCAACGGATTTATCCCATTTTGGGCTATAAAATGGCACCCAAATCCTCTCATTTTACACACAATTCTTCAACATTTCAATACTCCTTCATTGCATAAGTATTCCTATTTTTCTTAGCTATTTGAGAGCCAATTCTTGAAGAAATTGTCGTGTTCTTGAGCGTTTACTAGTTCACTCATATCTACTCTTTGTGAGAGTTTTATTCCTGAGTGTTTAAGTGTTTTCATACACTTTAAGGGAGGTTGTTCCCTTGTTGTAAACTCGAAGGAAATTACTTGTTCCTTCGTGAGAGGTCTTGGAGTGCGGTATCTCCGAGCAAAGGTGTTGAGGCTCGTGTGACTCGGGTTCTCAAGTTGTATCGGTTTGTTAAGCACCCTTAAGCTTAACGGATTTAGTGTAGCTCTCAGAGAGTCTCTCGGGGGGCTGGATTAGCCACACGTTGTGGTGAACCAGGATAAAATCCGGTGTGCTCCTTCCTTACGCTCTTTACTTTAACGCTCTCGTTTTAATTTCCTGCGATTTTGTTTTAAACGTTATTCACCCCCCACTCTAGCGTTGGGCCTTTATTCTAACAGAGTCCATTAGGTGAATTAGAGTTATCTTCGTTCTTTATATATTGTAACCCTTCGTTATTATTATTCAATCAATCAATAATCAAGAATTCTTTTAATCTCTCGTTTCTCTTTTCTTGAGCCTAGAAACGCTCGAAGTTTTCCTTCTCTCTTTGCCTCCCCTTTCTTGGAGTCTGAAGATGCTCGAAGTTCTTCTCTATCTGATACAATATTTGTATCAATTGGTGCTCTCATTGAGTTGAACACCAAAACAAAAACAAAATAATTAAAAAAAAAATCCTCCGTTGTCGTTCTGCTCTTTGAAATCGAAGCTCCATCTATAGAAGAACGCAGCAAAACCCTAGGCGACGGATCGCAGAATTCAAGAGTGAAATCCGTATCAATTCACCAGCAGCACCAACTTCCGCCTTCAGTCTTTCAAACTGCCACCGCTTGTTTTGCCGTTTGGTCAATTTTATTTGCCGCATCACTTTCGTTATGTAAGCCACTGAATTTTAGTTGCTGGGTTAACAATTTACTCCGTCGGTGCCTAGCTCTGTAATCACTGTTGCCTACGCAAGATTGTGGACGGAATCTGCTTCTGTAAAGAAAAACTGCAGAAGAGCAAATTGGTGATCAAGAAAAGTTGTTCATCCCCAATTGCCGATCAAGAACTTCAAGAAAGCAAATTTTCTCCTTTGGCTTGCTTCACTCAATTGACTCTGCCAAATTATTTTTCAAATTATTGTTACAATTGTACGCAGGAAGCCACTGCCATCAACACATAAAGGTATTTTTTTGGTGGTAGTTTCTTTTAGCAATGGACTCAATGTTGGACATACTTCTTGATTTGTTAGAGAAGGTTCTTTATGGAGAAATTGAGTATGATGAAGGGGTGTGTTTGAGTTTTGATCACGTGTATGAAATTATTATGAAGCTCAGGTCGATCCATAATTTTAAAGGTCAAATTGATTATGATGGACTCGACGTAGAAATTTTTTGCTCAGTGCAGGATTTGGTTCGTGGACCTCCAATTGTGCCAAGCCAAATTCCTTTTGAGTTACAAATTTTCAGAGCACGCATTATGGGTATTATACGGAAGGTGACGGGTGCACCTTCTCCACAAACGTTGCCCCCAAGATGTGATGGAACCAAACCCGTGCAGTGGTTAGCTACGGTATGTGAGTATTTCTAGTTTTATGAAGTCCCTTTAGTTGATCGTTTGAACCGTGTGACATCAATGTTAGAGAGCTCTGCCTTGGCTTAATTTAATTGGCGTATGCGTGGCGGCTTAATTGATGGTTGGGAGGATTTTGTTGAAAAGTTCAAGATTCGATTTGCTCCGTTACATGCTTTGGATTATATTTCTTTTGAGAAGACAATAGAAAAGGCTAGAGACACATTTGTCTACATGATGGAAGATGTCACCACACTCCCCGACCCGACTATGGAGGACATAGACGAGTCAAAAAAATGAAGTGTCAGGTTTCATATCAAAGAGGGCGATTATAACAGGTTTGGCATCATTGGCGATGATGGTGGTGCTCGAAGATTATGGTGCTAATATTTTGAGTGACGAGCCATTAAATAAATCAGATTCTACACCTCGTGAATTATCTGTACCACTAAATGCCTCAGTTGGGATGACAATTGCAGGGTATGAATTTCTAGCAAGTATCGAGAAGGTGGCAGATGCAAATAAGAAGCAAGTGGAAAACCTCATTTCATTTTATGACACCATTACATTGTTTGACCTTGTCGATGTGGTCAAGACGGAGCACCTAGTTTCACCGAGAGAAACTACATATATTATGCGCCTCGTCTCCTTTTTCCACTACTTTTCTACAAGAGCCAACATTGAGGACAAGGTGGATTTTAAGGGGGTGGGAATGATACAAATAGTTAATTAGAATATTTAAATTAGTTAAATTGTTATTTAGTAATTACTAATTATTATTTATTGATGGTTTAGGGTTTTAGTATGGGTCCGAGCCCATTAGGTCAATTTGGGTTATCTTCATTCTTTATATATTATAACCCTTCGTTATTATTATTATTCAATCAATCAATAATCAAGAATTCTCTTAATCTCTTGTCCCTCTTTTCTTGGAGCCTGGAAATGCTCAAAGTTTCCCTTCTCTCTTTGTCTCCCCTTTCTTGGAGCCCGAAGACGCTCCAAGTTCTTCCCTATCCGATACGATATTCGTATCAATGACGTGAAGTATTTTAGCCAATCAAAATCAGTCTAGTCATCGTGTGGCAAATGAGTAGAATGACATGCCTTACAATGGCAAGTCACTCTTTTTATTAGTTTTTACACCTCTTTAATGTATTTTAATTAATAAAAATGATTTTAATTATTTATTTGATCATAAAAATACTTCTATAATATTTATTTAAAAATAGGAGTATTGTTTTTCTTTATTTAAAAAGATTTAAAAAATAAAAAAAATCTTATTTTTCCTTATTAAAAAAATTTAAAAATATGTTATATAATTTATTTAAATGCCTTACAAAAAAATAAAGACAATTTTGTAAAAAAAAAACCAATCCGTTCGTACTTTTTTTTCTTTTTATTCCAATGCTACACCCTATTTAAAAAAAACATACACGCCTCGCTCGCCGGGGTGGGACGCCCAACGCCCATTCCTCTCCTTGG